TAGGATCATGATGAAATATCACTGCCACATACTGAATGTCCAGACTGTAAACTACTGTCAATATCAACTCCTGCCAATGATGTGGAGCTTCTGGAACTCTTGCATATTGCTAATAGGAATGTAAGATGATGCAGTTGCTATGAAAAATGGTAAGTAGCTTCTTCTAAAGTATTCACATGCTCATCATATGGCTTAGCAGCTCACTCCTAGGTATTGACTCTACAGAAATGAAAACTTATGTTAGCACACAAAAATCTATACACGGATACTTTAATGTCTTTATCACTAATTGATCAAAACTAGAAACAACACAAATGTTTCTCAATTAGAAAACAAATAAACAAAGAGTGACACATTCATACAGCGTAGGTATCCGTCAGCCATAACAAGAAACAATCACTGATACACGCAAGAACATGGATAACTCTCAAAAGCATCATGCTGAGTGATACAAGCCAGTCTCAAAAGGTCACGTATTATATGATTTCATTCATACAGTAGTCCCCAGGAAAAGAAAAAAACAAAACAAAACAAAACTATTGTGATGAAAACAGATCAGTGGTAGTCAGAGGCTGTGTGTGAGTGGGAGGTAGAGTATAAAGAGTGTGCATGAGGGAATTGTTTTAGAATAATAGAATGGTTGTGTATGTTAATTATGGTGGTGGTTACATAGACCTACATATGTATTCAAATTCATAGAAATGACAGTAATAAGGACAGTGTGGTACTGGCAAAAAAAAAAAAAAAAAAATAGACCAATCAATGGAGCAGAATAGAGAACACAGAAATAATTCACATAAACATAGCCTACTGATCTTTGACAAAAGAGCAAAGACAATTCTATGGCAAAAGGACAGTCTTTTCAACAAATGGTGCTGAAACAACTGGACACCTGCATACAAAAAAAAAAAAAAAATCAATCTAGACACAGGCCTTACACCTTGCACAAACATTAACTCAAAATTAATCAAGACCTAAATGTAAAACAATAAAACTTCTAGAGAAAAACACAGGAAAAAATCTAGGTGACCTCGGGTTTGGTGACTTTTTAGATATAACACAAAAGCACAGTCCATGAAGAGAAACTGGGTAAGCTGAACTTCATTAAAATTAAGAACTTCTGCTCTGTCAAAGACACAGTTAGGAGAATGAAAAAAGAAAGTCATTACTTTCTGACTGAGAAAAAAGAAAAAAATTGCCTAGCAGCTATCCAATGGCTAGTATACAAAATATACAAAGAGCTCTTAAACATCAAAAATAAGAAAGCAAACAACTCAACTAAAATGGGCAAAAGATCTGAACAGGTAATTCACCAAAGATGTACGGATAGCATACGAAAAGATACTCAATAACACATGTTATTAGTTAATCACAAATTAAAATAACAATTATAAACCATCACTCACCGATCAGAATAGCTAAAATTTTAAACTCCGATAACATCCAATGCTCATACGGACATGGAGCAACAGAAACATTCATTCCTTGATAGTGGGATTTGCAAAATGATTCAGCATTTTGGAAGACAGTCTAGTGATTTCTGACAAAGCTAAACATCATCTTACCATACAATCCAGCAATCACCAAGTAAATTTACCCAAATTATTTGAAAACTAATGTCCCACAAAAACCTGCATACGGATGTTTATAGCAGCTGTATTTAGAACTGTCAAATCTTAGAAGCATTCAAGGCATTCTTCAATAAGTGAATGGATAAATTATGATACATCTATACCATGGAATATTATTCAGATTTTTAAAAATGAGCTATCGAGTCATAAAAAAAGACACAGAAGAATCTTAATGAATAGTACTAAGTTTAAAAAGTCAGTCTGCAAAGGCCATATACTGTACAATTTTAACTATATGACTTTGAATTAGGAAAAACTATAGAGACAATAAAGAGATCAATGGTTGCTAGGAAAAGGGTGGATGAGAAGAAGGTAGGCATGAGTAGGTGGAGCACAGGGGAATTTTAAGGCAATGAAACTATTCTGTATGATACTGTAGTGGTAGATACATAACATTTATATTTGTCAACACCCATAAAACTATATAACACAAAGTGTAAACCTTACTGTAAAATATGGAATTTAATTAATAATAATATATAAATACTGGTTCATTAACGATAACAAATATACTACATGAATGCAAGATGTTAACTGTGTGCAGGGTATGGGGAAGAGGAGTAGTATATGGAAACTCAAATTTCTGCTCAATTTTTCTGTAAATGTAAAACTGCTTTAAAAATAATGTCTATTAATTTTAAAAACAGAACTGTACACTCTGAAAGAAAAACTCTACTGCACTGATAATTTCAAAAACAAGTTGAAAATAAAAGCAACCTAGGTGTATAATAACAGGGGAAAGTTTATATGTGCACACAGAAAAATCCACTTATTCATCATTCAACAAGTATTTATTTAGATCTCCATGGACTCTTTATATCATAGTAAAGTAAAACATTCATGTTCAGGATATTATCATTTTTTCTTAGTCAATTAATTACTGTCACTTAATCTCTATCTCATGCAACTCTCCAGTCTGTGGAAATGTTTTCCTTTCATAGTCAGCTTACATTTTCTGGCTGAGCATTTTCTTCATCCTCTTGCTGCTACCCTTGCCTCACTTGTCCTCTTGCCAAACTCGCGTAACATGTGTGCTGTCATTCGCCTATTTTCCATCTTCACCTTCTCACATAACTCAATGAGCACTGTGGGAGAAAGCCTTAAAGCAGCCCTTGGCATGTGGTCACTGCATCAGCTCTGACTTCAAAGAGGCGCACAGCACTACTCAGTACTCCTGTTCTATCTGTCTTGAGAGATTTTACTTCACAATTGTGATTTTTAAATTCTTCCATTTAAAAATAATAGCTGATCCCACCACCCTGTTTGCTCTCAGCAGTTAAGCTTTTGTCACAAGTAAAATAGGAATTGTCCCAGGAGCTCTACCAACAATTTCCACTCTAAACTGACAAACGTAGACCCATCCTGATTCATTGATCTTTGTTACTGCCTGTTAAAACAGAAAGCTTCTTCCTCCAGGAATGTTCTTGCTTTCTTGGGACCTCATTCTATCAATTACTTCTCCATGATTTGCTCTACTATTGTCAAAAAATCTATCTCTACAAACTTTTCCTTAAAAGCATTCACACTTTATTAGATCTTTCCCAGCTTTGGAAGAAACAAAAAAAAAACTTCAAATAAACATTAGAGCTTATGTCCTATCTTTTCCCTTATTGACAGTCCTTTTCATTTCTCACTTTCCATTCACTTCCTGATTCCAGTCATCTGATTCTTTGCCAAGTAGCCGTAAAATTGTACTCAAAAAGATACTAATGCAGTCTTTAATACCAAATCTAATTGACACATTTTTATCTTTATTTTCCTTGATCTTTGATCTGCACCTAAAATTTTCTTCCCTTGGTTTCTGTGATTTCATGCTCTTGCTCTAATCCTCATTTTTTTGTTTGCTCTTTCACAGACTCCATTGTCAGCTTTTGTTCTTTTATATTTCATTCAGATGTTGGTCTTCATACTGTACACATAGTCCCTGAACAACTTCTTCCTTTTATTCTTATAGATCCGATTATGTATCTTAACTCCAGTGCCTCACTCTTGAATCTGCTTTATAACCAACCCCCCATCAGCATCCTCTACTTATATTTCCAAGAATACCTTAGAATTGAAATGAAAATCAAAACCCTTTATCTTCTCCCCTTCTTCAATAGTTTCTGCTTTAATTGTCTATCCAATTATCCAAAGCAGAATCCTGGGATCTAGCCCTAACATATTCCTCTAATGCTTCATATCCAATCAATTTCCAAGCCCTCTTGGTTTCATCACCCAAACATCTCTTGAATACAATATGTTACTCTACAATATCAATCACAGCCTAAGTCAAATTATCATCGTATCTCATATAAATTATGAATTTTGTCTTTTAACTGGTCTCCTGGCTTCAACTTTGTTTGCCTCTGGTATAGTTTTTCACACAGCAACCAGGGTTATCTTTCTCAAGCAGAGTTCTGATTAGATCACTCCTATGCTTAAAATAGTTCAATGGCTCTTCTTGTATTTAAGCTAAAATATCATCTCCTTAGCAGAGCTCACAATCTTTCACAATTTGACCCCATTGAATTCTACTGACCCAGCTTTCACTACTTCCCATCCACACTCTATTTCCCAATCAATCTGAACTATGTGTAATTTCCAGGATACACAGTTCTATCTCATGTCTCCAGGTTCTATCTCAATGCCCCATTCTCAAAGAATGGAACACTCTTGAACTTTTTTTGCCATGCTGTCTTCTATTTATTCTTTAATTCTCAGTTCAGATACCATCTACCCTAGACATCTTTTTCTGGGTAAGGACTGCCGCAATACTCTGTATTTATTTCTATCACAGTGCTTGTCCCACTGTTGTAATAATTGGTGACTTGCCTACTAGTGGAATTTCTTGAGGGCAAATTTAAAATGCTGTGCCTTATTGATCTCTATATTGCTGTTCAGACTAATAGATGATCAAGAGATGTTTAAAGAAGGAATTTAGAAAATCAGAATGGAAGGAAGAAAAGAAAGAAGGAAGAGAGAAAGGGAGCGAGAGCGAGAGGGAGAGAGGGAAAGGATGAATAATAATAATAATAATAAAAAGAAAGCAAAGAAGGAATTACGCCCTTTAAGATTACAGCTATGTAAAAGTGCATTATACTAACAGATATTTTGTTCCTGGTATGAGATTATGGGTGATTCACTCCTTGTTATGAAACTGTGTTTAAAGTTGTTACATTGTTTCAATAATTAAAATGCCACTGATTTTTGTTCTACAAGTATGTGACAGGTACTCCTGGTATGACAGAGACTGCTCTCTGTTCTTCAAAAGGTGTTTCTTCCTCTTCTAGGCACATGCCTAGACTGGGTTTCACAGCCTTCCTCTCTGCCAGTAGGGCCATAGGACCAAGTTCCAGCAAAGAGACTATGAACAGTAGTGACATGTACCACTTCAGGATTTGATCCTCAAAGTCCTCTCACAGTGATCCTCTGCAATTTCTTCCTGTCTCGAAGGTGGCCAGAGAGAGCATCATGAACCTAAAGGAGTGGAGAAATAAAATATGAGAAAAGCCCAAGTCCTTGAATGATTGCTTGAAAAATCTCCCTATCAAAACAGTCAATTGGACTTTATTTGGGTGAGACTGCGTTTCTATTGAGTGAAATTATTGAAGTTTGAGAATTTATCTATATGGCAGTTAAGCTAAAGTAATATACTTGGTGAATAGTTTAACATGGAACCACCTAGATACTGAGATGACCTTGATTTTAATTTGCCTGTTGTAGAGCACATGGGAAGTTGATATCAGCAAACCTGATTCCTACAGCTATGGAAGGATGAAATTTATCAGTTAGTAAAAATAATTCTATCATGAACAGTTTGAGTGTAAGGGAATAATAGATATAATATTGTCCATCCCTCTATATTACACATGGGAACTCTGAGGTGCAGAAAGGGAAAGGCTGAATCAATTGTTGCTAAGTCAAGCTTTGCTTTCAACCTTCCCAACCACATGTTAGGATGCCTTGTCTGGGACAATTCACAGTTCATTGATTGTCCAGAGAGCAACATGTGTGCTCTGGCTGCCTAGATGTGACACTGCCTTTCAAGCCTCCAAGGGCACTCTTCCTGAAACTGCCTCTGTGGTTGAGGAGGATCACCTTCTCAAAGAGAGGAGAATAGTTCTTTGACCAAGAGCATTCAAGGAGCTGAAATTTCCTGCTAGAACCTTTAGAACCCTTAGTCCGCGGTCAAGAGGGTTCTTGTGATCTTGAACTAAGAACAAACTTGCTTAACCAGATATGAAAATAAAATGGTATGAGGTAAAAATGAATTAATTAATTTTGTTGTATTTTAAATTTTCTGTTTAATAAAGAATGCTGTAGATTTTATTAACCAATGACAGACTGGGAGATGATTGTGGAAAGATATAATCACTTATTCATTTCTGGTACAAGTGTAAAATGAGATGCCATTTGGGGCTATCTGATTTAGAAATATCTGGGGTGTGCATGGAAGTTACCTATGTACATGCTCTATGATTCATCCACACCACAAAGAAAATTTCTGCATAGGTCTACAGGAAGTTGAGTAGAAGAACAGAAGACATTATCTGTCCATTGCTAGAAGAATAAAAGTAAAATGGGATGGATAAATACCGTAATAAAATGAAAACAAGCAAGCAAATCATTGAGGGAATTAAGTATAAAACTAAACTATATATTGTGTGAATACAGATATATGTGTGTATATGTGTGCATATATACATATCCACATATATACATATCCACATATATATCTGCATATAGTGTACACTTAAATACATACAAAATAGCATAAGATTATTTTTCCTTTTCATCAATAAAATGTTCAGGGATAGAAAAGTATACATCATTTAACAAAAACCTTATAAATGTTTCCCTTGGCTTAAAAAATTAAACATTTCAAATAAAATTCAACCCCATAAGTAATTGAACATTAAACCTCCAAGAACATATTCTCTTATCTGGCAAGAGTTTAAAATTACTAAGCTCTTGCTTATACTTTTATGCTCCTGCTACATATATATTTGTGCAGAAACAATATACAGTATTATTTTATATGTTTAAAGCTTTCTAAAAAAGATATCGTACTGCATGAATCCTTTTGCAACCAGCTTGATTTATTTAACATTGTGTTTTTGAGTTTTCTCTCTGTTGTTGTTTGTACATCCAGTATGTTTATTTGACTGTCCCATATTTCATTGTGTGCATATACTACCTAGTATTTTCCTTGTCATATTGATGGGCAGATCATTTCAAGTTTTTGACATTACAAGTCATTTTGAAATGAGCATTTTTGTATATGTCTTCTTGTTCACATGTCTATGAATTCATGTATGGTATAATACTAACTCTGAAATTCCTATAGCAGTAGTGTTTGCATTTATCTAGATATTGTCAAATGATTCTCCAAAGTGGTAGCTCCAATTATATTCTCACTGCTAGTGCATGGATGTACCTGCTCCTTTTTCTTTACTGACATCTCTGCTAACACGTGGCACATTCAGATAATATTGTTAGTTGTTGCCTTATAAAATTTATTTATCTGATTAATACAAAAAGTCTTCTGAGGTTGAGAATCTTAATGTATTTATTTACTCGTTGGGGTTTACTTCCTATCTTTTTTTCTATTTTTCAATTTTCATCTATTTTCTTACTGATTTATAGTAATTCTATATACACTACTGAATGCTAATTCTTTGTCAGTTTTGTGCACAGCAAATGTGTTTCCTGATCTGTGGGTTATCTTTTCAATTTGTTTGTGTTTTTGATACACAATTCTTTTTAATTAAAAGTTTGAAATCCATCTTTTCTTTATGTTCCCATGGTTCTTGATGTATTTGAAAAAGCATTCTCCAATATTGAGGTCATAAAGATATTTGCTATATTTTCTGCTAAACATTTTAAAATTTTACTTTTTACAGTTATATCTTTAACTGAATGGAATTGATTTGTTTTTACAGTAACAAGATGGGATTCAATTTTTTTTTCATATGGATAAGCTATTATATCGGAACCATTTACTGGAATGATCCCTTTTCCCAGCTGCTTTGTAATGCCAGCTCTGTTGCACATCAATTGATCAATATGTTGCACATCTGATCAATATGTTTTCATTGTCTATCATGTTTTCAATTGTGTTCTAAGTACTAGTTACATATCAGTAACAAAATAATTACACCTGATGCTCATTCTGCATTTCCAGCCTGTTTCTTAGAGTTGATATTGCTGTGTCTAAAACACTGTTTAATGACTATAAAGTTTATTTGTTCATGTTATCTAATAAAAAAGTTCCTCTCCTCTTATTCCTCTTTTTTCCAAATTATTCTGCCATTCTTACCCCTCTTATCAAAATACACATATATCTAAAATATTCATATATATGACTACAAATATAATTTCTATAACAAACCTGTATCTTAGGTTGTTTTCCCCAAAAGCAGAGCCTGAGAAGAATTCTTGTTGAAGTGCTTCTCTTAAGAAAAGAAGAATGAGGGCAAGCACAGTGGCTTACACCTGTAATCCCAGCACTTTGGGAGGCTGAGCAGGGAGGATCACAAGGTCGGGAGATCGAGACCATCCTGGCTTAACAGGTGAAACCCTGTCCCTACAAAAATAAAAAAAAAAATAGCCGTGGTGGTGGGCGCCTGTAGTCCCAGCTACTCGGGAGGCTGAGGCAGGCGAATGGCGTGAACCCAGGAGGCGGAGCTTGCAGTAACCTGAGATTGCACCACTGCATACTGAGATTGCACCACTGCCTGGGCAACAGAGCGAGACTCTATCTCAAAAAAAGAAAAAAAGAAAAGAAAAAAAAAAGAAAAAAAGGAAAAGAGAAGAAAAGAAGAATGAAAGCAAGCAAGAAGCAAGGTAGATGGAATAATATGCAGCTGTAAAAAAGAGGGAATCATGTCCTTTGCAGCAACATGGATGTAGCTGTAGGTCATTATCCTAAGCAAATTAACACAGTAACAGAAAACGAAATACAGCATGTTCTCACTTATAAGTATGTGCTAAATATTGGGTACTCACGGACATAGAGATGGGAACAATAGACACTGGGGACTACTAGACGAGGGAGATAGAAGTGAGGGCAAGGGGCAAAAAACCAATTGTTGTGTACTATGCTCACTACCTGGTGACAGGATCATTTGTACCACAAACCCCAGCATCACACAATATACCCCGGTAACAAGTCTGCACACATACTCCCTGAATATAAAATAAAAGTTGCAAAAGTTGCAATTATTTGTTTTACAGAAGCAAGGTAGGGGTGGCTCTCATACAGCTAAGGGCAATAATTCAGTAAAGGGGATTGTTGGGGTCTTACCAGTCAACATTCATGGCAGTTAGGGGATGTGGTGAGGCACCTACATTATCCACCATAATCTGTAGCACTATTTTTTAAGAATAAAAATATGCTGCAAAACATGTACATTTTACACATTAGGGATAACCTGATGGGGGAGAAATGGAGTTAGAAATGGGTGAAAATTAAAAATAAAAACTAAAGGAGTTTTCCTCTAGATTGTTGAATGATGAAGTTCTATTGCACTTTTCTGTACCTGTGATACAATAAAAGATTGATATAAATAAATACATAGTGATGAAAAACATACATAATTCCATCCCCAAACACATACTTACCCTTTAAAAACACTGCATTGCCAAAACTGAGGCAGCCTTGTGAATAGCTGTGGTCTATAATTTAGGAGGTTTTTGTTGAGCTTTTGTAAGTCTCTACTAATGAGTCAGTGTTCAGCCACTGTTCAGTTGTAGCTTTTAATTGCAAACTTTGGGACACTCTAAATTAGGGGTATGTGAAGCCAGATTCACTAAAACCCAATGCATGCTGATGGGCTTAGTTATTTTTTCCCAGTGTGGACTTACGTTCAGCCTCAACTCTTAACGTATATTTGCATTGTGAAGAAGAAAAAATTTTGCATTTTGATTTATTGATGCTTAAGTCCACAGGCACGTTGTTCGCTAAGGCCTGATATTCAGGCTGTCTCAGGAGTAGTATTTTTCTATGCTTGCTATCTTGCAAACAGAATAAAATTTATGTTACACAGTTCAACCATTTTGTCTTGTTTCCTGATCATCCAAATGCATAGTTACCTTACCATAATATCCGGACTAATATTGTTATCCTCACTACCTCACTTGAAACACACAAATCAGACTCCAGTCTAACTTTTATAAAGGTAGTCTAGAATCAGGAGTCCAGCAATATTGTGGAAGCAGTTAGCATACATCTCTATCCCAATGCAGCATCCAGTATCCAGTACCCAATACACACTGCAGTATCCAATGCAGTATTTTAATGTCTAAAAGAAAAGGAAATCTAGAAACCATGAAGAAAATTAATGAAACAATAACCCCTATAGGTATCTCTGTAGAAGTCTGGTGTGATAGCATGAAAGATCCAGACCTCAGAGGGAAGGGCTCGGGGTCTTGGTGCTGTCTCAGAAACAGAACACTTAGCTTTGGGCTCAAATTTACCAGAGGATGAGCTGAGCAGCTCTGCTCAGAACCAGAATCATTTAAGGATTGTACCTAAGTGATAGGAAGAAGACAATACTTACACTCTCTCCCCAGGACAATGAGAAATGAAAAGTAAACATGCTTCTGCCTAGGGCTTTGGGTGGGTAAAAATGTCTTCTATATCTCCCATGGAATTAAACTCATAAACCTGCTTCATGTATGCAAATGAAATCAAAAGTTTGTCTAATCCTATGAATAAAAAGTAATTCACAAATTAGAAAAAGGTTAAATCTAGCTCCAAACTGTTGAAACTCGCAGGCAATCTAATAAAAATAAAGCAATCTATGTCAACAATTATAAAAATTAAAATGTATAATATGTCTACAGACAAAAATAGCCTCTGCTGAAGATGTGCTTACATAAAATAAGAAAATAATCTACCATGAGAGAGAGTCAGAAGACATAACAAACTGGAAATTGAATAGAAAAAGGAAGCACAAAGGAAGTATATGAAGAAAATCAATATAAGAGATCAAATTAATTAAATAAAAAATAAAATATGATTGACAACAACAAAAATTTATACTTTAAATAGAGTATAAAATTGATTTAAAAATTTTTTAATACTAACAGTTAGAAAAAAGAGAGGACAAATTTCCAAACTCAGAAATAAAAAATAAAAAGACATCAAATTTAAAAACAAAGGATATTAAGGTCAACTTTTGGAAAATAAATGTAAACATTTGAATAAAATAAAAAAGTCTTAAAAAATTTATTACAACTGACATAAGATCAAAGAAAACATAAATTGTCCTTTCTCTATTAAAAAGCTGCATTCTTTAAAAAAACACATAACCTCTTCACAAATAAAAGAGCAGTTTCAGAGGGCTTCAAAGGATAAGACTGGCAAACTTTAATAAAAGAATAATACCAAGTTTATAAAAATCTTTCTAAAGAAATAAAAAAGTCAGAGCACTGACTATTTTATTTTAAGAAACCAGAGTTAACATAGTATTTAAACATGGTGAAGGCATTATAAGAAAAGAAATGTACTGGACAACCCACCTATACACAAAACCGAAAACTCTTAAAGATAATATTTGTTTAAAAGTCAGTAATACATAAAAATTATAACATACTATGTCCAATTTAGGTTTATTTCTAGATTGCAATTTGGTTCAGTATTCAAAGATCAATCAACATAATATATCTTGTTAATGGAATAAAGAATAAAAGTATATTATCTCAATAAATACCTAAGTATAATCTGATAAAATTCAACCTCTATTGATGACAAAAATTAAAAAGAATTTGAAAATCTAGAATATATTTTTCTTAATCTTAAAAAATTCATCTGGTATTTTAGCAACCAGAATGCTAACTCTCGTGTGTTCATTCAATTTTGCACTGATTTTATCACATTTCTATGTGACAAAATAAGGCAAAGAAATGAAAACAAATGAATAAGAATCAGAAAGTAACAAATAAAACTATTTGTAGATAATATGGAACTTTAAAGTATAATTACTAATTGCAAAATCTATGAAGAATAGAGTAGGAAAATAAATTTCATGATATTCATATAATGGAACATTACATGACTAGACAAAATGAATGAACTAAGACTTTACATAAAAACAGAGTTGACTGTTTTATAAATACATTGTTGAGTAAATAAACCAGACATAAGAAAGTCTGTATAATTCTGTCCATAAAATTTCAGAAGTTGGCAGGACTAACTTGTGATGGTAAAAGTCTGTAGAGTGGTATATTTGAGGAAAAAGAAAAGTGTAATGATGGAAAGGGGACATGAAGGAGGATTATGGGTTCTGCTAACATTTCTTGGAAAATGCAGCGATCATGCCAATCTGTTCATTTATAATTATTCACAAGGCTATACTCTTATCATTTGTGTACTTTTCTGTATAATAGAATATGTTTTTAATTTTTTGAGTTTGCAATCAAACAAGGCACAGAACAGATATTAGAATGCTACTTTCTGTGTAAGAAAGGACGAGAAATTAATACCTATCTATGTAATCCATCTACACACAAAAAACAGGAAGCAATGCACAGTTGTTATTTTTAAGAGGAGAACAGAGTTAAAACAAAATTCTCACAGTATACTTTTTATGCACTTTTGATTTTGAACCAAATAAATATTTCACATATTTAAAAAATAGACTTGAAAAAGTAAGCCTTAAAATAGAAAAATCAACTGAAACAGACTTTCTTCTTTTGTTACTATTTAGAAAATAGAACAAAATCATTGTTTGTACACTATCAACCAAAACAAATTGGTCAAGCAAAAAATTTGTAGGTTTTTTTTTTTTTTGTCAAAGCCTATCAGAAACTTACGAATGCAAATGCACTGCATTCCAGAAAAAAAGATAAACATATTATAGAATAAAAGAGACCAGTGGCTCGTGGGGAAGTGTGAAGAGGAAAATTTCATCACTGGTGAGTTTTAAGAGAAACTACAAGAACTTTAACAAACTTGCCAGGGCCCAGTGTGAGCCTGCATGATGGTGTGAAATTCTGAGGCACCTGGGCTACAGAACAAGTCTGCCCCACACACCAATTCTTTCCCAAGGGTCTTCCCTGAATGCTCCTGGGTAGTGTGTGTCAATGGCAACACAGGGCAGTTGCTGAGATGCCATTGAGGTGCATGGACCCTCCCCCAAGGGCAAGGCAAGAATACTCCACAAGCAGAGAGGCAGGAATGGATTTATCAAGGCAGCCAGGCTTTCAACAACTGAACAGCTGGCAGAGAAAGAGAGCCGGGAGAAACTATAGTTGGATATTTTTACACTCCTCTGAGTAATTGATAGAGTAAGTATATAAAAAAAGTAGTAAAATACAGAATTTGAAAAACATTGTCATGGAATTTGACCCAATTGGTATTTATAGAACACTTCACCTCAAAACTGCAGAATACCCATTATTTTCAATTGCATATAGAGCAGTCACCAAGATAGACCAACATTCTGGGTCACAAAGCAAGTTTTAATCAATATAAAAGAATGGAATCACACAGAATATATATATTCTCCCA